TAGTCCCCTTCCTCTGCTTTCTCTAGCTAGAAACAATGACTTCTATTAAACATGTACTTTAAAGCACTCTATTTTGAAGAGAACTTATAGGAAAAATCTTTTGCAGGAGTAGGTCTCTTTTAGTAGAGTCAGCAAATAAGCCTAAGCTGCTTCAGAAATAAACTGTCTTTTATAATCTCTTGTTCAATTACACTAAACAAACACACTGAATGCAACAGATTTGCAGAGTGGGACTGTGATTGGAGCTGCAGTCCACTGTGCATGTTCTTTCTCCTTGGTAGTGATTTTTGTGTTTGTAATGCATATTGGGTCTTTTTGCTGGAAGTTTGGGGGTGGCTACCCAACATGGCCTACATGCTACAGCCTTGGCATAAGCTGTCTAGGCCATCCGTGCCTTCTTTGTCTGTTCCGTGCAAGCCTAGCTGCTCATAGGGACTTAGCTTTGACTGTTTTGGTTTTTTGTTTTTTGGTTTTTTTTTTAGCTTTGACTCTTGACCCTGTGTAGAACCAGCTATGAGCTCAGTGAGAGATGTCACAGAACAGTAGGTGACAATGTGGACAGGTCTCTTGTTTTAAGAGGGACAGTGCTCTTCTTTTAAATGATAACATCATCTCTAATATGACATCTGCCCAACTTAGAAAATTTCTTCACTTTTTAGTTGAGAAAGGGTAAAAATAATCATTTCTCACCTATTGAGAAAGAACCCTCTGAGAGCCATTATTCTGATGTCAACCAGTGGACATCGTTTATGGAACTTTCTTGTTTCTCTTATAGAGGTTCTAATTCTACTTTAATGTCTTTGACAAAAACCTACTTCAATTTCAACATTAGTCTCTCTCTAAAGCATGACTAGAATACAATTTTTAAAGAAAGTAGAAACAATAGCAAATTGCCATTTTAGTTTTCAGGTGAAAAAGGGCCAATTATCAGCAATTTGATATGGTTCACTGTAACATAGTAGTATATCCATTCACTCAGCAAAATTCAAGTGCCCAAAGTATATATTAGGCCAATTGTCACAGGAGAGAAAAAATGAGAATAGCGCTGTTTGATGGCTGAATGCCTCGATTTACTTTCCTGGAACAGTGACAATATTAGTGCAACCTCAGGGGACTGTTTCATACTCTGCATGCTGAATGTTGCTGCTAGCCTCACGTGTTAACAGCTTGGCTCCCGGGGTGGCACTACTGAAAGATGGTGGGACTTTTAGGAATGGGGTCTAGCAGAAGGTCCTCAGATCACTGGAGGTGTGACCTCAAAGGGAATTGTGGGGCCCTGGCTTCTCCCTTCTGCTCTCCTGGTCCCTAGCCATAAGGTGAGCAGTTTGCTCCATATCCTTTCTGCCGCTGCCATCTGGCATACTCCTCCCCATCAGAGACTCGAAACAATGGCTCTACGCTTCATGAACTCGAGCCTCTATACCCTTGAGCCCTAGGAAAAATTTTCTTTTTATAAATTAATTCCCTTAGTTATAATGACCAAAAACTGACAAACACAACTGGGTGCTAACTAATTTATTTCCTATAAGCCCTCAAGTCTTCATCATCTTTGCAGGCTCCAGGCAAGGGCCTCTGTCCCTAGGGCTTCTTCCAGAGTGCCTGGGAGTGACTTCTTCCTCTCTCTCTGGCCACCCGCAGTGCATCTAACTGGCCCAGCACTCTTTATGTTGTTCTTAAGCAGTTGTGTCTTATCTCCTTTACTAACCTATAAAGGTTTGGACAGAGCAGTGCAAAACTGCCTTGTGATTCTGACATCAACTGTTGCTGATTCTACAGGTTAAGGACAGTCTTCAACAAAGCCACCTGACTCAGCTCCAAGGCTCTCATTGCATCATTGGTCCTTCCACTGTGACCAATCCACATCCTAAATCATCTTGTTCCTAAACTCAGGCGTGGCCAATATTGCTCCCCATCCAGAGCAGCGAAGATGCTCTTGCTGCCAGGAACCCAGGGAAAAACTGGACAATTTACTATAGGAAGAAGCCATATCTAATTTATTTTTTAAGTCCTCTCCAGTATTTAGCATGATGTTTTATATCCAATGGGCACTTATATTCATTAATCAGTGGCAAGGGTCAACTTTAGGAAGATAATACCAGCAATACTGGTTAAGACTTGCAGGAGACAGTGAGGATTCAGGACGTAAGAGTACCTGTGTGGTGACATCCTGTAACTCAGCGGTATCCCAAATTTTCTGATCAAGGAGAATATGGGTCCACAGAGGAAAGTGATCAGTGATGTACAGTGTGCCTAAGGTCAGTCACCTAGAGAAAAAAAATTCTCTCAGGCTTTCACAAAGAGTAAATTGGTCAAACAATGGGCATGACTCATCCTTATGGCTGACAGTGACAAAAGACCCATAAGGTGCGGCACATGGTTTCAGGGTAAATCCTGAGGGGATTTGACTGACCTTGTCCAAAAGCAAAAATTAAATTTTGAGTTACATAGGTTTTGCTTTAACTTGGTTTTAATCATCCAACAGAAAAGTGTAACCATGTGGTATAAAAAGTAAAGCTATATTAAAATGCTGAGCTGTAAAAGGCTCACATCAAAAATTTCAGACAATTGCCAGTTCTACTGATAACCCCCTACTATCATGGACTATTGGACGATATTGGGTTATTTTGTTGAATTCAAGTACCTGCAATCTTTGGACTGACATCAAGTATGAAATGGTTCTTTAAGGACTTCTCCAAATACAGCTTTTCTTACAGCAATGGAACACCCATCTCTCACAAAACAAGACAAAAACAGGGGTATACAAATAAAGGACAGTTTATATGTGTGAAAAAAAAAATGACTTGCAGTAGAACAAATGTTATTTCTTTGGCTCATTCTGTTGATCATGAGCTTGAAGAAATAAATGGACACCTTAAAAAGTTGAATTGCTCTTTAAATTATTTGTCCCCTTCTCTCATCTATAAAATTCTGCATAATGTCCCATATAATTATTCAACATATGTCCAAGAAAGCCCTCCACTGGGAAGTTAAAGGCAGTCCCTGTACAAAGAAGTTGGACTCTCTTGTGTATTTAATTGATTAAAACAGTTTACAGCAGTGTCATAATGTGACCAACATAGTCACTGGTAATACTTTCAGGGGCATAGCATCTATATCTTACAATATGGATGATTTGCTTCAAAATAACACAAAATAATGCAGAGAGAATATTGGGAGAAGTACAAGTGAAATGTGCACAGTCCTGAGGTGATAACTAAGATTGGTGATGGGTGATGGAATTTTTTTACATTGTAAATTAATTCTTATCACTGATAGAACATGGTTGCAGCATATTATTTTTCCTTTTGGCTTTTGGCAATTTTTAATGATAAAAGTTGCAAATAAATGTATCTTCACTGAAACTAAAGACCTCATGACAAGTGGTTTGTAATAGACTGGGGGTCATTCTACTTTGAGTAGTGAGTCTTAAAAATGGGTACAACACCCAACCATGTGAGTGTCTACACACCCAACACTCACAAGTGGATGTGAATGGTGATGTTAGGGCGCTACCCACTGGTCCACACTGCTACCCCCCAATCCCCTGTCTTTCCACATATGTATCTTACATTACTTATTACGTGTACGCCTACGAGCCTAAGTGTCAGGTTAGATTTAAGAAGTAGAACATTATAGCTCATCCTTCTTTGTGTTCCTTTCTTACCCCTTTTCCTCTACCTCTCATTTATAACCACCATCCTATGTTTTCTCTTTTATGCTTCTCTGCTTTTAACCACTTTATGAATCCATGAAAAATGTTAGCTTTGTGTTTGAGCTTTATAGAAATCACATCACAGCATCTGTTGTCTCTGAGTATTTGTTTTTTTCTCAACATTATGTTTCTATGCTTTATTCATAACCTTTCACTGCTTTATAATGATCCACTGTGAGAGGCCAATTACTATTAATTTGCATCCTCTGCATCTGCTTGGGTTATTAGATCTGTGAGGTTTTTTGTTTGTTTTTTTTATTTATTTATTTTTTTGGTCTACTGGGTCTAAAATATTTCATTGAATCTTAACTTGCATTTCCTTGTTGCTAATGAGGTTTGACACCTTTTCCTGTACTTATCTGCCATTTTTTTTTTTCTTCTGTGAGATGTTTATTGAGCCCTTTTACCTTTTACCTTTTCCTGTAGGGTTCATTTCTTACTGACTTCTGAGATTTTTCTTTATATGTAAGAAGTGTTGTTAGGCATTCATTGATTTGTTGATATTTAAAATTTTATATGTATGATATTTACAGCTGGAAAGATCTTTCAAAACACACAGCTCACATTTCTCATGTTACCTATGAAGAGGAATGAAGGGTGCAGGAGGCAGCTCACCTGATGCCACAGTGTGTGTGTGTGTGTATGTGTGTGTGTGTGTGTGTATGCAGTAATGCTGACGCCCAGCCCTTAATCCCATATTAAATGATTTTCCTATTATACCTCTTTTATTGGTTTGTCCATTTTTTTTTTTTTTAAAGGAGGAAAGGTTCATCTGGCTCACAGTCTGTGGGGGTTTCAGCTCAGCGCCGGCTGGCCGTGACACAGTGTAGTATGGCAGAGCAGTACTGTGGAAGAGAAATAGCTCATGGCAGGCAGCAAACAGCAAGCGAGGGTTTGTCCTTTTTATTTAAAATTTTAAAAGTACCCAAGGAATACATGTCTGTGATAGAAAAAGGAAAAAAAAAAGTATTTGCAAAATGAAGAAAATAAAAATCAGCATCAATTCTACCCCCAGATGCAACAACTGCCTATATTCTATATTTCCTTTCCAGATAGTAACTATAACAGATATTCATTATGAAATGCTTATTACGTGCTCATTAGTATGGACTGCTTATTATATGTGAGGCATAGTGGTTGTTTTTTTTTCAATAGGGTCTCAGTGTAGTTCAGGCTGGCCTTCAGCTCACTGTGTAGCCCAGGCTGGCCTTTAACTTGTTGTTATCCTCCTGCCTCAGCCTCCCTAGCACTGGGATTATAGGCATAATTCTAAATCTTTTATGTATATTGATTTTTTAAAATCTTCCCCACAACTCTGTTATATAGATTATCACTATTATCCTAAATGTGCCCAGCAGAATAATAGCTTCCTAAAGATGTCTACTCCCTAATCCAGGAACCAGTGAGTATGCATATTATGCTACATAATAGCATAAGGATAATCAAGGTAGCAGATGAAATTAAGGTTGCTATTTAGCTGGTGTTAAAAGATAGAATACTGGGCTGCCCACTTGAGCCCAATGTAATTGCAAGGGTTCTTTAACGTGGGAGAGGAGGGCAGAAGAGTCAGTATCTGAATGGTGCCCTGTAAGAAGGCTTCAAGACTGTGGAAGGGGGCCATGTGCCAAGGAATGCAGGCAGTCTCTACAAGCTGAAAAGGAAAGGAAAGGTTATATTCTACAGCTTTCAGCAGGGAAGCGGTCACTGCCAACCCTTGCTATTGGCCCAGTGATGGCGAACCAGTAATGGCTAACATCTCAAATGGCCCTGGATTAACTTGGACCTTTTGTCATTAAAAAACTATTTGTACAAAAGAAATAGGAGGATGAGAGTTAAGGAGACATCCAATGACAAAAGCAGAGGTTGGCATGCTGTGCTTTGGGGCTGAATGTGAGTTGCCTTTAGACAAGGTGAGGATATAGATGGTTCTTTTGAACTTTTGGAAGTAGTATGGGGCGATCTTGATTTGGGACCAGAGAAACCCATTTTGGATTTGTGATTACCAGAACGTAGGATAAGTTTGTATTGTTTTAAGCTAGTAAGTTTGTGCTTGTTTGTTTCAACAGCAACAAAAATGAATACACTTGGGCTGGGGAGATAGCTCAGCATAAGCACCTGCCTGGCAAGCACAAGGCCCTAAATTTGAGCTCTGGTACTGACAAAAAAAAAAAAAAGAAAGAAAGAAAACCTCAAACCCATCTAGCTAATAACTAATGAAAGCCATGTGGACCATTACTGATAGGGACAGGATCCGAACCCAATCCATCTGGCTTCAGAGTCTATATTCTTTACCACAATGAGGTATGCACAGCTTGCTGTAGATTTCAATAGTACACACATTTCAGTACATGTAAATCTTCCATATTATTTTCATAGTTATTCAGTATCACCATATAAAGTGGTTGTGTCCCATGGATCAAACATGTAATTACCATATGTTATCAGTCTTCTATTATTGGACATTTAGATTGTTTCTAATTATTGAAAACTAGTGGTAATAAGCAGCTTTCTAGTGATATTATTTCTTTAGTAAAACCTCTTAGAAATGCTAGGTCTAAAGTATGTTCTAGAAAATGCCCTCCCCCCAAAAGGCCTATCAGAAGACAATGTAATTTAAAAAAAAACATACAACTAAGGTAGGACTGTATCTACCTTGTGCTACAGCAACATTTTCATACTAATCCATTTTTCTTATCTTTGATACACACTTGACATAAACATGTCTTTTGGGTTTAGTGGAAGTACTGTTTCCTTTGTAGAATCCTATCGGTTAGAGTAAGAGGCTATGTGAAGTCACTTAGCCTTTAGGGTACAGGTCAAGTTCATAGGCCAGAAGAAGAAGCAGACACCTGGCTCACCTTATGGGAGGCTCACCTTATGGGATGCTCCCCTGAAAAGACTCACAGGCCTGACCCGAGCCGGGCCATCTTTCCTCATCGCTAAATGTCACAATGACAGCTCCCAGGTTGGTACCATTATTGATTTTTTTTCTTCAAACCATGCAAGAAATCTGTTGTTCTTTTAATCAGAAGCAAATTGTGGGGCTATAAGGAGCTTGCACATATTACTAAAAGATAAAACCCCCAGCCTTTCCTAGAGAGCCCATTTTCATTTTCTCATTTGGAAACCTGGTAGGACTGACGGCAGACAACAGCTCCTCCCCTTCCCTCTACTGTACCTAAAGGTTCTTGGATGCCATCGTCAGCGTCTTCCACCATCACTACTCTGCCTTTCTACCTGGGTTTGCACAATACCCCGTGGCAGTAAGGTTACTTGTCCTGGTATCTGATGTACACAACAGTACGCAAACTCCTTCCCTCTCTGAAGCAAACAATGCGATAGGAAAGCACACTGCCATTTTCTGACTGACCTCAATCTCCGAGGGTGGACCCCACACGTTACATCAGCAGGCCGGCTCCATTACACTGCCCTGCGCTGTGCTTGAGCTACTGAAATATTGATTTTTACAGAGTCGGCGCACACACACTGAAAAATCAATATTCCAGTGCACACAACAGAACGGGCGGCAGAGCTGAACCGACTCCGAGGCCAGCTAGCTCTGCCGGCAGGCCTGGGCTGAGCAGGGGGTGGGGGGCTGGAGGAGACGGTGCGGGAGAGGCCCCTGCCAGCCTGGAGAGGGTCAGATAAACAAGCCAGTGTGCAGAGGGAAGAGGAAAGAGTGGAGAGAGAGATCCTTGAGGATAAAAAACAGTTGGAAGGAGCAATGGTTTATTTTCCAGTGGGGGGAAATGGGGAGAAGGAAAGAGTAAATTAAGAAGAGAGGATAGGAAGAATTTTCCAGGTAAGAATCTTCCCATGAAACTGTATCTTTTGTTTTTCTGTATCATTCGGCCTGATTTAAGATGGAAAATTCATAAAGATGATACAGATACTTTTATTACACAAAGGGGGAAAAACCTAGGTCAGTTCTGAGGAATATTTATATCTTTAAAAATGCGGCCCTTTTCTCTTACTTTGGTGACTCGAGGCGGGCAGATCTGACAATAATCACCAGAGTCGGAGCGGTGGGCTCCCCCTTCGCAATGCTATCACTTTCTTTTCCTCGGGGAGAGGGCGGCAGGGAAGGCATCCCGGTCATGTGGCCGCTCATCGATTCCCTTTCTTTCTGCAAAAGCGCCTTCTTTGGTGTGCTGGGGAACCACGTTCAGAATTGATTGTTTTTCCGTGCCCCGTGACTTCTTAGGGGGTTCAGAGCTCCCGGAGTCACACCTCCTTCCAGATGTGGGGAGAAGGTATCTCCGGGCTCCACTCTCAGCTGGCGGGTACCCGGTAGAGGTCAGAATGTAGCCCGAGAGCCCTTTCGGGTAGTCCCTGTACACGTTTAAAGAAAATAAATAAATAAATAAAAATCAGAATTGGCAATTTTGCTACTTTCAGTCAGCTCTTTGGCCTCTTTTCATTTGGGGATCGGTGGCAGGCAGTTAACCAAAAGGGATGAGTTCTTAACTTCGATGAATTTTTGATTTTGCTTTGTCCTAGAATTCTCTTACCAGGAATCTCGCTATTAGTTCTTTGAACTCCCAGCCAGGGGGAGGGAACTGTCCTCCTGTGGCTTTCATTTTGTACCCTGCCCACCAGGCAGCGTCGCAGCAGCTTCTTCCTCAGCCTAGGAGAGACCCAGGCCCAGGCTGGGCTCTGGCAGGGGCTCCGGGAGGAGCGGGCATTCGGGGACACCTTGCAAGATACGGGCTCTGCGGCCCAAGCGGGGCTGGCTGAGCACAGCGTG